TGACGTATTGTAACCCAGTGTTTGATAGAACGTTACCAATTTCTTCACGATTTTCTCGTAGTTGTTATCTCGTACATTCCCCAAAAAACTCTTGCTCGTGTTTTCGAATGTCTCTCACGCTGTCCTTTCTGCTGGATTAAGTTCCTCCTAAAAATTAAGATCTTTCAAAAGCTGTTTTACTTGGGGACCAACAAAGATTCTCTCCTTTACTTTCGCATCGCTTAGATGAGAAAACTTTTGCTTCAGGTCAACAACGCTTTCTCCTTCTCTGTCTACACTTTTCGTAATGTTTTTCATCAAACCGAGCTTGATATATAGAAGAGGCAAGAGGATTTTAGTATCAAGCAGTAACTGGTCATTGTTCGACTGTTTCATTCACATAAAAACAGAAGAATTTAATGTATTCTTCTTGAAAACCTGTTATCATTGCAACAGCTTTCAAGTCATCACACAAAGTTCTTAAATCAGCAATAAATATCGTATTCGCACAAAAAGCATTTTTAATTAAAGATAACTATGTTTACTATATGGCATGCGGACTCAAAAAGATTCGCTACCTCTGCCCAAGTGTTTACTCCTAAGAGTTTGTCAATGATTATGTCACATCCTAAGTTGATGCTCTTACGACTATCAAATCATAATCAAACACAGTTGTATATGGTTTTTAGAGTTTCCTAAAGAACCTGTAATACATTAAAATTACTCTTGGTTCCAATAACAGCCATACGCTTAGATGGCCGAGCGAGATTCGAGCTCACAACTCCTATTTATAGTGCTTTGCTAGTTATGCTACCCGCCTGCTTCCTGCCAAATTGCTTAGTAACTATTTAGCCTTACAGCCTGATAAAGAATACGGCTTCTACTTTGGTATTTCAAAGTACAGTGGTGCCTCGTACAACGTACTTAATCCGTTCCAGGTGCACGTCCGTTAAGTGAAACGTCCGTTATACGAAACGCATTTTCCCATAGAAATACATGTTAAAACATATAATTCGTTCCGCAGCATAAAATAACCGTACTGTACCATAAAAAAAAAATGAAAATGATAGAGAGCCTATAATGAGAGAGTGGTCATACGGATAGCTGCCGCCATGTTTTTTCCAAACTGCATATTTAGCCGCAACCACATACTATACTTAGTTGGGAAAACTGAAATAATCTAGCATTTATTTAAATGGAAATTTGGGCAGAAGAAAATAAATGTAGTTTTCAATTTTTAGAATTAACTTTTACTATTATTATTTGTTCATTTAATGTACTATTTAATAATTTTTCGAATTTGTTTATGATGAACATTACCTGATGGATGAGTGACGAGACAATATTCTTTATTAATACCTTAAATGTTAATAATTAAAGTTGTTTTTTGGGGCTCTAAAAATAGATTGAATAAACGTGATAAAATTATACGAAACGTCTCGCAGAACAAAAGTACTGTATAGGCTATATCTCGTGGTCTTTCACCAGATAAACTAATGCCATTTATTTTTAAAATTATAAAAGAAATTATAGTTTTCATTTAATTCGTTACCTTTTATATAATTTCTTTGTGTAGAAATATAAATAATAAAGATTTAAACAAATATACAAAGTAAAATCAAATAGTTTTAAACTTCAAAAACGCGCAAAATATCTACAGCACATAGTTATAGCATTACAAAATTAAATATTTTTTTAAAAAAGGCATTGGATCAGCAATAAACTCAATGCTTTCTTCTGAACAATAAGGATGTGGGATATAATATACACATTTACTAAATTTTCCACTAACAATGCCAAAAATTTTCCACATTGCCTGATTTATATATCCCATATCAGAAGTTACAGCATTGACAATTAATTCCAAATCTTCAATATTTTTAATTATATCAAGAATTATATTTTTAAAAACAGAACCATCTGTTGAGTTGCTAGTATAAAAGTATGCAAAACTTTGTTTCTACCTCGTAAACATACCACTTAAAGACTAGTGAATGAGTAGCCAAGCCTGTATGATTTGGTAATGTTATTTCGCCATAATATGTATTAGTAACTTACTTGTGTCATAATCAATGCTAGCAGTTATTGATATTTCATACAAAATTAAAACACATTGCTTTTCTTTATTTGTTTCCGCATCATCAGTTTTTATTTTAAGAAAATCAAACAGTTTGTACAATATTCCACTTTCAAATTTTAAGTTTTCCAGTTGTCTATGTAAGGTTCTTAAAGATGGATAAGGCAGATTACATCTGAGTAAGCTGTCAATCTTTTGAATCGCAGCTAAATCTTAATCCTAATGCTGTACAGTACAGTACGTGATCGGTTAACGAACATAATCCGTTCCAAGAATTTGTTCGCTATCCGAATTGTTTGTTAACCGATTATCAATTTACCATAGGTTTTTATGGGAATTTGATTAAATTAATTTGTTCTGGAGATCCCAAAAAATAAAAATATATATACATTTTTACTGTATTCATTTATATGTAGTAATAAAAATAGATATATACACAGTCTTGCATTTTTATTAGTCATATTTTTTCCGTTTGTGGGGGTTAAAGAATCTGTCTAATGTCGATTGCTTTTCTCTCTTCTTCAAGATTTTTCAGAAGTAATTAATAGCATTGTAGAGATCCCTATGCCTATTAACTTCAACCTGGTTTGGATGCCATTCTAAGACCGTCGTTCTGACATCATCCCACTTCTTCAAAAAAATGTTTAATAGCAGATATTGACATTAATTTTCTTTTTCAGAAAAAACATATCTTGCCAAGTTTTTTGATATTATTCATTCAAGAGTTCTTGGCGTTCTTCTGTCGTCAGATCAGTTTTAGGTTGAATTATGAGTTCATCAATGTTTTTTATTTCTCAGATGTGATTTTTGTTACTCCTTAAGCTGCTTGAGTCTTCTTGATTATCCTGTATCTTTCTTAGATAAGATTGAACTGCGGCCTACTGGAGACCTGTTCAAGCCATACTGCCCAGTAACATCAGACATCTTCTGCCCACTCTACCTTTGCTATTATACTCTCACATTTCAAAAATAAAAACCGACGCAAAACTTAACGAGTGCCTGTCCGACAGTCTCGTAAATACTATAAAAGAATTGTTTCTGTCAGAAGAATAAAAGACTGGAATTACAAGAGAGAGTTCCAAAGTTTGGAGAAATACTATCCGATCGGTATATACCGGGTTGAGCGTCGATGTTGACGTCTTTTGCTCTCCGAAAAGTTTCGAATTGTTGCCCGAAGACAAGGGAATACCAATCAATAATCATTATTTTACGTCGCTTCTTCTTGTGTTTATTCTGTGAGTTTTTTTATACTCTTTACGCCCTGCGGACACTAGGAGGGCCTCTTATAGCAGACCCATTATGGGTTCGGCCAGGCACACAGTGGGGCGACCGGTTGGTGAGGAACGGGGCCCGACATATCCGAACGGACCACCCGAAAAATACCCGGGGATTCCTTGACCCGTGCGGATTCGTTCCCGGGTTTCCCAGAGTCGTAGGCTGCCATCTTGACCACTCGGCCATCTGGCCTTGTTCTGTGAGGTGTTCGTTGTCCGAACATAAAAATCTTTCGCGAAAGTGTTCATTATCCGATTTGTTCGTTAACCGATCACCCACTGTATACACTGTCTCATTGGACCATTTTTTAAAACACATTAATTTTCGAGAAATGCAGACTAGTTCATCCTCTTTAAATATGTTTTGCACAGCCGTCTTAACTTTATCATTTTGACAATCTTTTAATTTTTGTTTTCTATTCCTAACTGACCTTTTATGAAGATTGATTAATTTAAGTGTAATTTATAATTTTTTTTCAATAAACCTTTTAACTCAAATGTTTTATCTTTACGTTTTTTAAATACTGAAATCATTGAATATTGTAGAATTATCATGTTGAAAATAATCTGTTGCTGGTTCATAACTTGATGCTTGTTCAGCAAAATTTGCATCATCTTTTGAAATTTTACAGGTTTTTAAAAGAAGTGGGTTTTGTACTGCTGGAGTCCTTCTAAATCATTTTTAGGTGTGAAAATATGAAAGAAACAACATTATACTTCAATTTTCTAGTTCCATCAACTCTAGTTTTTTCCCATTGATCATCAGGAAAATGGACGTTAAAATCAGATTATCATTTCATATATTAAAACAGCACATTTTGATTTAAACAATTTATACTATTACTTATTTATTGATAACTGCATGGAAATTATCAAGTAATACAATACAAACCATACATAAATAACATATGTTATTTAAGTAAAAATTATCTTAAGTAAAGAGTCTCATATTAGTAATATATATAAGTTATTAACTAAGAAATAGATTGATATGATATCATATAGTATACATCTGTATAAATTATATATTTAATAAAAAATGTATAAAATATATAATTTATGCAAATATATACTATATGATATCATATCAATCTATTTCTTAGTTAATAACTTATATATATTACTAATATGAGACTCTTTACTTATATATATTACTTTTGTTATGGTTTGTAATTGTATAATTATTTTATAAGTTTCATGCAATTAAATAATATATATAAATTTGTTTATAGAATATTAAATGTATTCTACTGTGAGATGTATTTATAAAACAACTTAATTCTTGCATAATACATATACTTATATATTGTTATTTATTAAACTAAAATGATAATTTATTATAAGTGGCTTATGATAAATACTGTATAATTGAAATATATTTATTATTCATCAATCAAAATCAAAAATTCTACTTTATATACTTTATATTGTAAATTACAAATTTATTGTAATTTACAATACTTTTAATTAAAATAAAGTAGATTTGTATAATTAAGTATGTACTTTCATATCAGACATTGTATATCACATATTACAAATATTAAATTATATTAATACTTATATTAATTTATGTATACTGACTTTTTTTTATTTAAATTTTAAGCAATTTTGACTGTTTTGTGAATGAAAATACCACCCAAATATAAAAGATTTTTAATACTTCACAATACCTCACATAAACAGCTGCTGTTGTTTGCTTTCCAGTTTTTCTTTTCACTTTTATTTCCCAAAGCTTACGACGTGCAGATCTTTCGGTAAACTTTCATCAAAAATCCTTTCCCGCTGCGATTTGTACAGCCGAAAGCAGCACATCCAGTCATATTCTAAGAATTACTAATTGATTAAATTGTAAAATAAGCAAACTTAAAAAATAACTTCATATTTAACAAATATCAGTATATATTCCTAATATCACTAACCTTTGATGAGTTTTAATTCGTTTGCAGACAATGAACGTAGAGACGATAAAATTTATTCATCAAGCTTTCGTTCCAATCTCCCTTACACGTTGTTTGGAAGAGTAATGGCGGCTTACAGTCATGTGGTCACAAACTGCCAATAGAAAAGCGTTTCTTATACGGCCACTCTCTCATTATAGGCTCTCTATGGTTGGACGGTTGCAGGCGCTCTCTAGTGGCGATAATATTCTTTCGCAAAGTTTGCTTACTCTGTACAAGAAATGAAACATAAAATTTGAAAACTGACTGAATAAAAACTTTGATCAAATTGACTTAAATTAATTACTGTATTTAAAAATTTGAAATAAAATATGACGGAATTTTTGATGATTTAGCAACATACATTTTTCTTTCAGTGATGATAATATACGTTGTATTAATAAACTAATTAATAAATTTACTAAAATTTTCATTATAATTTCGAAATTTGTAATTTAAACTTTCTCATCAAGACTATAATTATACTTTTTATCGTTTGGAAAGTTACGAATAATCTCAAAAAGTATCATACATATTCATGAAATCTGCATGCGAATACAATAATATATCTTTAGGTATAGCCTATACACTATATGGTAAAAAATATCCGGATACATGCGAATAAATATACATTTCAACAAACGCCTTTATCACAAACACGTAATAGTGGAAAGGACCTCCTTTTGTTTTAATCACAGCCTCCTCTCTCCGAGGAAGGAGAAGGCTCTCCGCCAAATTTTGGTAGACAGCTGTAAAGATATTCCTTCATTCCTCCTTTAGAGAATGGTGAGGTCACTCACAGATGTTGGGCAATTTGGCTTGGCTCTCAATCGCCGCTCCAATTCATCCCATTGTTATTCAATGGGATTGATATCTGGGTTTTGGGCATTCCCGTCCATTTCGACAAACCTTGCTACAGAAATCATTCCTTTCACACACTGCTTTGCGGCAAGAGGAATTGTCATATTGGTAAAGAAACGGACCCACTCCAAACTGTTCCCACAATGTACGTAGAGCAGAATTGTCAAAATTTCGACATACGCTGCAGAGGAAAACGAGTACGCCTAACTGAAATAAGCTGTCCCAGCCATTCAAGGAATACGAGCCCCACACTATGATACCTCCTCCTCCAAACTTTACAGTGGACTCCACACAGTCATCCAGCAGGCGTTCTCTTGATATGGCCCAATCCACACTTGACCGTCTGATTTCCAGAATGTGTACCGAGATTCATAGCTCCACAAGACGAATTTTCATTGTTCGAGAGCTTCATAGATTCCAAACGGCACTTAGTGTTGACCTGGTCATGTGTGGCTTACGAACAGCTGTACAGCCATGATAACCAAGAGTCCTCATTTCTCTGCAAATAGTAATATAGCAAATCCTTCAGCAGAGGACTTCCGATTACTCCGGATCGCACTCGACATCAAGTTCTTGGATCTACCAGTTTTCTGTTGTACTGTAGTTGTTCCTTGAGATTTCCACTTGGCTATGACATTACTCTCAGTTGAACGAGTAATGTGTAACATGGCTGAAATCTCACGATAAATTTGTAGCATAGGAGACATCCTATATTTGCATCGCGTTGGAATCCACTGATCTCTTTGGGGCAACTCATATTGTGTCGAACTCAATCTACTATTTATTTCGTGATGTGTAAAGGTGAATATACTTGCATAGTAATTTACATATGGTATAGGACAAGTTCCTCTATTTACGGGGGGTGTCCGGATACTTTTGATCACAGTGTACTTAAATAATAATCGCTAATTTCTCTCTAATGTAACTTTTATAAGATTTAATGCCCATTCTTAGTTTTTCGTAATTCTTGTTTTGTAAATATATCTATTTTTAAAGTATTACTTTAAAATCTTTAAATTTATTTATTTAGTTTTTTAATTTCAATTTCATTATTTTGTTTAAGTTAATACAAGTATCACACTGTAAGATAATGGAACAATTATCGGAGGTTAAATCAGAGATCAGTTTAATTCATCAAGATATCAAAGAATTCAAAGCCAAAATTGATATACTAGAACAGAAAGTTATTAAATTAGAAACGTCATTACCAGATATCGATAGGCGATTGGAAGTACAACAGTACAACGCGAATAAATTATTAAATTTATTTATCTAACCAACATTACTTGATAATATTTGGTTATTCCATGACAGATAATGTGAATATCAGAGAAGTTCTCTTAAATTTGTTCAGGGATTTTTTGAAACTCGAGATAAAATACAAAGAAATAAGTGGATTAATGGAAAATTATTTGTTGGATTATGCAAGGTGCAAGAAATAATTTTTTTTTTCAACTTTTAATTAAAAAGTTTTAATCGGATATAATATCCAAGTTTCTTCCAAACTAAGTATAACTAAGTTACATAATTATATTTTGGTCCAAGCGTATAAAAAAGCTGGTGTTGGTAGACCGAGGAGCAGTATGTTACTATTAATAAAAAAACTTTGGGAGAAATTGTTTACTCTCATCGACGTTAATATTTGATATTTGCTATGGTCAAAGTTGACAGACGTAATTCTATGATGTTTCCAAATAGTCATCTGACAATAGTTGTGAACTATATGCCGCCGTATGAAAATATTCTGAATCATTTTAATGAATTGGAGAAGATTATAGAGCTGGTTAAATTTTACTTCTTGGTTAATAATTGGTGATTTTAACGCTAGAATAGGAAATGAATGTGACACAAATTATTACGGGAATAACTCAGCTGTCTATAACAAAAGAATGAGTCACAACTTTGGAACTAATAACAGATGAATATTACTGTTAAATTTCTTTCAAAAATTAAATTTGTTTGTTTTAAATGAGTGATTTCTCGAGTTGTTGTACCCACATCTCCCATAAGGAAGCTTCAGTGATTGACTATATTATATGTTGGAATTTTTGTTGGACTATTGTACTAAATTTGAGGTTTCTGATGTCGATGTGTTCGATCACTTTCCAATTCAGCTGACAAAGGGATGGTGCTTAAATAATTCTTCCTTTGACGGAAAATCAAGGAAAATTGTACAGTTATTTACGAAGAAATGTAAATACAATAATAATGCCTTTGAACAAGCAATCAGCAAAAATACTTCCTTTTCTGGCCGATATTTTTTGACGATTGACTAAAGAAATATAGTGGAGGAAGATGATTTTATTGCTTCTGACCGGTGGTATGAATTTTTCATAAAGAGGTCGATGGGGATGCGGGTTAATTTGTAATTAAATTGGCCTGGAGGGTTTAGAAGAGGTGAAAGGTCAGGTGCTAAATCTGCCTATTCAGGGAGTAGAAATATACGAGACTATTGGTAATTTGAGAAAGAAAACAGCAGTGGGTCCTGATCTGATTCCAGTTAATTTTTTAAAAGGCTGCCATTTGAAGAAATGGATCTTCTTGCTCTTAGTTTTAAATTATATCTATAAAAGTAGAACATTTAGGATCAGTAGAATTCAGTATACCCCGGATGATTTATAAAAGGAGAGAAAAGTAAAATCCTAGTAATTATAGACCAATTGCGATTTTATCAACGTTTAGGAAAAGCTTCAAGCTATATTGGCAAATAGATTTGAACGGTGGACAAGAGAGAACTATTTGAACTTTCCATTCCACTTTGCATTTGCTAGGAGAAGTGATACGGAAATGGCAATTTTTAAGCTGTCGTCAATTGTCCAAATTCATCTATCGAAGAAAATCGCAAAGTTTATGCTGCATTTTGTATCTGGAAAAAACTTTTGACTCAATATCTATAGCGGTGTTAAGTAACAAATTAAAAATGTGCAGTGCAGGAGTCGATTTCCTAAGTGCGATTAAATCTTTCTTTGGCCATTACTCCATAATAATTAAGCGTAAAAAGAATATATATCCATTTACAGTTAATAACAAAAATCAACTCAGTAAAAAGTCAATTCCAGTTGTTTTCTTCAATTGTATTAAACTCAATATGCTATGCTCTTCCAGTGGGAAATTGATTAGTTAACCCATCTTGAGAAAATTCAATTAATTTACATAAGGAAATTATATTGTCTGGCAGAGCAGTTCCTGGTTATGCTGTGTGTCATGAGACAAATAGACTAAGCCTTTCTTGGTGATAAGGATCATAAAATTTTATAAAAGAATTACTTATGGTAATAATACCCTGATTACTTCTACTCTGGATGAGCTCAAAAGAATATATAAGTTAAAAAGGAATTATCATAATAATTGGTTTAACAAATTTAGTTTGTTATTAGCTAGATTTGGTATTTCTCGTGTTTTACTTGACCTTTCGGGGATGACTGAAATTATGGTTTTGCTATTTTAGTGGAACACATGTGTATTGGACCATGAAAGGAATAGATTAGAGAGGTTGCGGCCGACGTTTACGCGATGAAAATGTCGGCCGCAACCTCGCTATTATTTGGATATTAACCATAGTTTGATAGAACAATTTTCAGTTTATCATCTGATCTGTTGATATTCGGGCAGTGAAAAGCTTAGAATACAATTGAAAATTTCACATTGTCATACTGTAAATCGAAGGAGGAATTTTACAGGGATCCATTTCAAATGGATCCTATTATGATAGAAAGACTATAATTTCTTCCCAAATAAACTCTGTAAGATTAGTGAAGAAACCAATGATATAGTCTGTTAAGCAGTTGATAGCCACCCTTTATATAATACGGAAAGTTTTTATTTATATTCACAGAACCAAATTCTAATTTATAGATTTCTTTATGTTTGTTGTGATTCTTTTTAGAGTTCTTCTTATAACAGGATTAATTCCTAAATACGTTAATAAATGATTTAATTTGATATTTANGCAATCTCTATTCTGTATCTGTATATACAGGGTGTAAAAAATTTGAGGGGTTGTAGAGAGGTTAATTTCGAATTGAAAACTCTAGGGACATTTTTTGATTTGAAGCATTCATTTTGAGTTATAAGTGATTTTAAAAAGATGGTCTAAGAACATTTTTGAATATGCATATTTTGGGTGTATATGTCTGCTTCAGGTTGGTGATAAGTTCCACAATTAACCAAAATTTGCATATTCAAAAATTTTCTTAAAACATTACAAATATGGAATGTTTTAAACATTTAAAAGTTTAATGTTTAAAATTGCAGATAATATGTAACGAATATCAAACTAACATGCAATTATTGACAAATATTTTCATACATCTATTGGCATTTTGCTAAACAGGAAGTGATGTCACATTTTTAAAATTGCTTATAACTCG